CTCCTCCAAACACAACGAGTTGAGTTTAGACCAAAACGTTCTACTTTGGTTTCACCTATTCTCTCTCCTCCAAACACAACGAGTTGAGTTTAGACCAAAACGTTCTACTTTGGTTTCACCTATTCTCTCTCCTCCAAACACAACGAGTTGAGTTTAGACCAAAACGTTCTACTTTGGTTTCACCTATTCTCTCTCCTCCAAACACAACGAGTTGAGTTTAGACCAAAACGTTCTACTTTGGTTTCACCTATTCTCTCTCCTCCAAACACAACGAGTTGAGTTTAGACCAAAACGTTCTACTTTGGTTTCACCTGTTTCCACCCCCATGCTTCACAGTAGGTATGGTGATGAAAATTACAGGCCTCTCTCATCTTTTTAAGTGGGAGAACTTGCACAATTGGTGGCTGACTAAATACTTTTTTGCCCCACTGTACACTTGAGTATCGTTCAATCAAAAGAAAGTCCCTCCTACCTGGCAATGAAACGTACAATATCTGAGAAGACACAAAAGCACTGGCAATCAGGGTTGTCAGCCATAAAGATGTAATCAGAAAGAATCATGCAGTGGTATAACTACCACAACAATCAATCGTACTGGGGTCAAGGAAACACATAGAATAGTAATTGATTCTAACTGAAAAGGTATCCTCTAACAATACCGGGTTATGTCCTTTTTCTTGCAGAAAACACTATACTGGGCATTCTTTACAGGAACACACAGGTCCACTGAGGGTGCTTCCCACTGGAGTACCCATTCACAGTTATCATCTATTGGAAAATTAGGGCATCTATCAGTGCACTGAGTGACTCCATTAAACAGATGATACATTAACTTCCATGAGAAATACACCTATCCAAAGGTACATAGACATGAGGTACCTAAGCTCTCCTTGCTTGCTGATATACTGAACAAGCTGAACAAAATGTTATGTTGTGCAATGTGGCCAATAGTCAACATGGGGGTGAATGTGTATGCCAAACAGATGCATACATCTAACAACCATAACCATACACTGTGACATATGGAAGCATGTACCGCTGGGATCCATTCAGGAAAACCAATCCCCTCAACGTAACAAAAGAAGTTAATCCAAAAGGTGACCATCCTGAATTTATTGGGCTAGATATTATCTGAGTTGCGAAGATCTGTCAGTTTCACTTCATTGTCAGTTATGGGGATGACAAAAGAATCAAATCCACTTCCCATCTGAGAGTCTGGTATTTGTTCATACTTCCTTTTGGAGTGCAGCAACAACTTATACACTGACAGCTGAGCTGGAAAGAATAAGTAATAAATACTGCAAGGCTTGAATTCTACTGCATACCCCATAGCTATTGTAGTCCAGACTAAGACTCCGTAGTGTTGGATTTCCATGTTTATAGAGAGGACATGCTAGTGGGAACTGAAGTAGTGGTCCTGGAGATTATATGCTAAATCAAAGGTGACACTTAGGAGCATTTCTGAAGATCTTTTGTAAAGCAGGGGGCAGCAGTTTTGAGAGAGGTTGTCCCCTTATGTTGCACATTAGCTTACGGCAACTGCAATGCTAGAGAAGGGCAACTTAACTTCAACTATGGGACCTATTTGCAGCAGAGGTACTGCTACTTCCCAACAGGATGCATTTCCATGCAGTATTTGGGGTTTTAATTTCCTCCATAGTGTTAGCTGTACTCTGGCAGAACAATACTTCTGTGATGAGCAGGAGATCTTCCACCATGTTCTGAGCCTAGAGACACCAATGGTCCTGATCAGATGTAGCAGCAGAAAGCAGTAACTCCTGTTAAAGTGGTCAGCCACATATGCGGTTGTGTTATACTCAACAGTGTTCATCTGCAGCTTGGAGACTTGGGAGGCCTCTGCTAAGAAAACGGAAGCAAGGTCTCATTTATCATCTAGCAGATACAGTAGAAAATAGGTCATCTTTTCACAAAGAAAAATCCAATATTAGCCATTATAGGCTTGGAAATTGCCACTCAAAACAATAACTTTGTAGACCAAGAACATATGAAAAGTATCCAATTTGTGTTTGACTTTATCAATAGGCGGCACGTACACTTTGTACTAGATTCTTCTGTGCTACCTCAACTACCAGTGATTTCAAAGCCAAATGCTAGGACAAAACTGGTACCTCTGCTGTTGCAACAGCTTTTTGGTTAGAGGCATAGAGGCTGGCTTTTGCCGTACATTTCTTACCAATTTCAACAAAGCCAGTGATATTGGCAATATTTCTGGAGCATAAGCATCTGAAGACAACAGAATACTGCATCATCTATTGGAGATGGGATTTGCTATAACTAAAGATCAAGAACCTCAGGCAATCTGATCGGCTGTTCAGCATGTGTTTGACTTTGTTCAGAATGAGATCCCACTGACTGGTCTCCAACCATGGGGTCCAGAGAAAAGGGTAGATCTTTCTGATTCCTCCAAATCAGAAGAGTATACCTGGTGGTCAGATGGCAAGTCATCAGAAGAAAGAGCACTACATTAGCACTTAGAAGAAACAGGTGGTTGTGCAGTTATGGCTGCAGTCTCTTTCAGTTGAGATCTGCTCCCTTGCTTGGGCTGGTCAAGGTCATGCCTTGGCAGTGGGAGGCTGCCCAAGGTATGGGCTCTGAAGACTTTGAGATTATGTATGAGGTTCTTCTCTGTTGGATCAAGTGGCTTGGAGAAATGAAGGAATAATCTGATATCGATAGCATAGATCTCAGTGTGGTATCCTTAGCAAGGCTGCAAGTAAGATGTGGACCAGGTCCAAGGGGGTATTTCACAACAGAGTGAAGTACCTTGTTGAACATTTGTACAACCTATTGTAAAAATCCCATTATGCACACTATACCAAAAAGGTTGGGGATCTCTGTCCCATACAAACTATTATCAATGCAGTACCTCAATTTTTAAAAGTACTGCACTGGTGTATCTTACTGAGTTGTTATGTCTTAAATAATCACAAACATATCCATAAAGATACTTCCAAATAGTTATAAATTTCTGTCCAACAGCGTTTATAATACACCTTGCACCATGCTTTTTTTTAATTAATTCTATACACACACACCTTTTGGAAAACTTGAGTATTTTAGAGCATACAACACTGATTGATTGATTGATTGATTGATTGATTGATTGACTGACATGCTAAATCAAACCATGGTTGATTCAGGGAACTGATCCCTCACCGAGCAACTCATTACATGGTAATATTTACAAACAATTCTCCTTTAATTTTTCTCCTTAACTATTGGAGACAAGAATTATAGCAGTTGTAGCTAAAATGTATATATATACGTATTTGTATATAATATGCATTCCAATCAAAATATAGTGCAATCATTTTAGAACAGACATTACAAATAAGATTATAGCAATATACTAATGTCTTAATGATGAAGTGACTAAGAAAGATGCTAGGGAGCAGAGCCGTACAATGCTTTGGATTTGCAAGGAAAAAGGTGCTTTGGAATACGTGCGGGTATGATAGTGGCATCCATCTGCAAGTCTTTAATTCAAATATGAGGTTCCCAGGATTGAGTGGTAACTGTGAAGGGTTCTTGGGAAAAGGTGTGGCTTCTTTAAGGAGTTCCAGACAGATGCTAAATTTGCACTTACGTGCACTCTGAAGCATCTTTTTGCTTTTAATTCTGAAGTGCTACATAGTCTTATGTGGGAGATATGGGGTAGAGAGTACCCTGTTTTCTAGTGTATATTGTTTAAGCATATTAATGTACTTCTTCCATACTCCTGGCTGCTAACTATTATATAATATGCCTAATAGTTTTAACAGCAACTATAATCACAGGCAATTTCATCTATTCATCTATAAACACAGTACCATCTGGGAAATGTCATCAAAATTTTGCCAGTCCATATTTTCATAACTAACTGAAAGCACTAAATGCTTGACTCCTCCCCCGTTACCACTGTCATTTCTAAAAGGCAGAACACAGAAACTACAAGGTGCTTCTAATGTTTCATTCTCCAGATCTACAACAGGCTACAGATCTTGTTGCTAGCAACAGATGTAGGAGTAACCATTACGGCTGTGTACTGCTTCAGATTCGAAACCAAAAAGGTGCTTTGGAGTATGAATATATCATCTGTCTGCTGTGAGTTGTAGCTCTGTACTGTTTGTCCAGCCTTCTGCTCTAAAGCACCTTTTTGCCTTTATAGCCTTAATAACCATTTCTTCCTCTTAGTCTCTAGCAACCCATCTCCTAAACATACAAATAAATGCATAGTTTTACAATCTCTTAGCTGCTTTCCTAGAATGGCTTCTTTTACACTTTGAACGTTGTTCCAGCATCTTTCTGACTACTTTCTCCTCAAACTCAATTATATTGTGTTCCAGAGAACTTCAAAGCTTCAAAAATATACAGTTGAATCCAAAGAAGACAAATAAGGTAAAAGATAGTTGGCTGGAAGTATTTCTCAAGCTTTTATGCTGCTTCAATCATAGCCAATTCAAAGTACCATACACTCCAATTCAGCAAACAGGTTAAAAAAATACAGTAACGTAATATAACAGTAACCTAATTCAAGTCATTCTATGGTGAGGAATAATCATATCAATTAGCTGAACCATCATGTAGTGCAAAGAGGATCCCAACTTTAAAATCAGGTACTAAAGTCTTCCTGGAAAAGCCAGGTCTTAATAGGATTAGCGCTGATTTAATTCTGCAGGGAAGATTGTTCCACAGAAAGGCAGCAAGAGAAAAGGATCACCTTCATGGTGGCTGATGGTAACTCTCATTTAGAGTGGGGACCCAAAGAGAACCCTATCTTCCAGATCTTGCTAGACAGGCAGATATTGTTGGGAGCTGTTAGTCCCAAGGATTTAGTACTAGGGTCATTGCAAAATAGTAATTAAGAAGACAAGGGAGAGGTTTTTTTCCTTCCAACTGAGTTACGTGCCATTAAGTTGGTGTCAACTCTTAATGACCACATAAACAGACCTTCTCCATGATATTCTGTCCCCAAATGAAATAACAGACAAGACCATTACCTTTTTCAATTTGGGGAGTTTAGGGAGATTCGAGACAGAGACCAGTCCAACATTTATTAAGCTGAGAAACTCCAAGTTCACAAACTCTCCTGAGAGTCCCTCAATTTCGCCATTGTTTGATCTGCAGTTATCAAGAACAAGCTCTTTGACCTGAAACACACACACACACAATGAAGTATTATTTATTTGTTGTATTGTTATAACTCTCAATATCAGGAATTCTGTGGATGATGCATAATCAAGTAAAACATTATAAACAGTAAAATAATAGAACACTATAAAAATCAACATATAAAGCAATATAACAGATGTGATCAAACCAAAAATACCAATAATGGCAATAAATAATAAAGAGGATGGAAAATACCATAATGAAGGCATCAAACAAGCTTCACTGTGTTCTGTAGCCAGGGCACCACTACGAGTGGATCTTTTCTCTGGCAATCATCCAACTTCATCGCTAGATGGAGGCACCTTGACATGGTCCTTGGGTAAAGATCTTGGAGTTCTGCTAAGTAAATACAGGACCCACTCTTTCAGGTATGCTGCCCTCAAATCATTTAGGTCTTTATGTATATTAATACCACCACTTTCAGTTAGATCTGGAAATGGACTGGTAGCCAGTATAGATGGCAAAGTAGTAGCATAATGTGATTGCATACCTCAGTTAGTAGTCTACTGTGGCTTGTTTTTAACTAAATGTTTTATATTGTTTTCAAAGGCAGCCCCGTGTATAATGCATTACAATAATACAAACAGGAGGTTACTAGAGCATGAATAACTACTGCTAAGCTATTTCTGTCCAGTTATGTCATAGCTGCTTTATTAGCCAAAGACGATAAAAAGTGCTGTGAGCACCCCTTAGCCTCTAGTGACAATGATGGGTCTAAAAGTTTCTCCTATTTCATAAGACAGAGTTAACCTGCAGCCCCTGAGCTTCCTTTTTTAGCTCCTGGAGCTGCCCTGAGTATAATTGCTAAAAAACTGGTGGTTTGACATGAAAAATAGACCATAAGTCCTAAAATGGCTTACAACAAACAAATAAATAAAAAAAAGGCTCAATCATATTATACTACTGCTATACTTTGCCACCTCTACTACCAGCCCATTTCCAAGCCCTGGTTGTAAGTGCTGGTATTGACATATAAATAAACAGCTTAAAACCAGCTTATCCGAAAAGATGTCTCCTATATTGCCTGCCAGGACTCCAGGTTTGCACCACAGGGCCTTCTCAAGGTGCCTCTCTCCAGGAAGCAAGATGGGTGGTTACAAGAAAAAAGGGCTTTTTGGCAAAGATACCCTATCTATGGAACACCTTTACCAGTGAGACTTGCTTGGTACCTTCCTTATGTAAAATAGGCTTAAAAGAATTAACACACACACACACACACACATACACATAAACACAAGGGACTGAAAAGTCCTCCACATATCCCAGAAAACTAAAAACATAACTCTCAGTCCCACCCATCTGCATAATTACCCTGGCTACTGTAGCCCTCAAACTTCTCCCAAATGTTAAATGATCCTTAGCCACCAGAAAGTTTCCCCTCCTTGCTTAATAGAAAAAAAAATAGGATGAACACCATTTGACTATTTACAGTGAGAATTTTAAACATCTTAACAAAACAGAGCTACAGTGCTCTTTTAAGCTAGAGTGGCATGTAAATGAAACCAATGACTTCCTATTTATCTAAAGCAGTTTCTTTCTTGAGATGACATCTTAGTGTGAGATGTGCAACAAAGACGAGCAACAAAGATTATCAGAATAATTTGCAACAGGCTCTTATTAGTCCATTTTGACTCCTTCTGCCTAAAGAGATGGCTAAGGACATTCCTTCATTGGTTTGGTTAGCATGATGATCTGGAACCTGTGGGCATTTTAGATTTAACTTTAGAATATTACAGTAACATACTCTAACTTCCGTGAAAGGCTGCATCAGTTGTATTACAATATAATGTTTGTGTTATATGAAACATATGAGAGAGTTTGTGTTGATGACTGAATATAACAATGAAGGCATTGGCATTTATGCTTATAAATACATTCAGAGGATCAAAACATTACTTTTCATTCAATGGAAAAAGTCCCAGAAAGCTAAGGCTGTGTAGGCCTTGGTCTCTTAGTAAAGGGAGCAGACTTTGAAGACAGATCACCAGGTAATTTGGTAGAAAGAAAAAGCATGAGACAAGAATAGCAAGTCCTGTGAGAAAAGGAGCTGAAAGTATTGAAATCAGAAGACTTGTGGGAAGAAATATGGTTTGGGAATAAGCATTATCCTGCCAAAACAAGCTGGCCCAAAATCCTCAGGAAACAACACAGAAGAACCCAGTGTGGCAGTAGTGAGGAAATCTTTGGATCTGCACTACTGTTACTGTAAGAAAGAATCTACTCTAACAAAAAGCTTGTGAAAATAAGTCAGGATGTAGATTGGTTAGAATTATATAACCTGCATTTCTGTGTCTGATTACTAATATTATATTTAATTTTTTAAATTCTGTCTCTGTGCCATTCATACTTCCACCTTCAAAAAACATTATCAAGGTTTAAAAAAACAGATTTGGGGATTCTTTTCAAGGAAAAAAATCTGTCACTGCTAATTACTCATCTCTTTACCTCAGTGTTTCTCACCTGTAAAAATAATATTAATTATTCTTCTGTCTTTGACCAGCTTGGGAATTTTGCACTAGCATATATACCTGATTTGAATTAGATAAAAATCTGCACTTCTATATGCAAGTCATTTCAATTAGGCTCATGGAGCATGAAAGTTAATTGTCTCTCTCTGACCCAAACGCATAAAGTTCTACTATTTGCATGAAGCTCTGCCATCTCTCAATACACTTTTTGGGAACTTCATTCAAAATGGCAGAACTTCATTTTGCAGTTGACTTCACTTGGTGGTTCTCAGGTATGTAGTAAACAAACACACACATGCACACATTATAATTAATGTAGATTCCACAAGCCTGAGCTCTGTCCAAATCTTTTCTGTGTGCCACTGATCATTCATTCAAACATTTTTCCCAAAATAGGCTTATGCAAGGTGTAGAATTAGGGTGGCTGGGGTGGGTCTTCCGGGCTGTGTGGCCGTGTTCTGGAAGCAGTTCTCTCTGTGCCCAGCTCCTGTCTGTGCTCCTGCCCTCTGAAGATGCCGGTCACAGAT